ACACACACACACACACACACACACACACACACACACACACACACACACACACACACACACACGGCGGGGGTGGCCCATCATCCAGGGATGGTGTTTCTCCTTCTGAAGTTCTGAAGTGCAGATTCCCTGAGGCGTCTTGGTTCGAGAAAACAGACATCGGGGCTCCTTTGGACTATTCTGATGCAGTGCCACCCCCGGGGTGGACCATTGCTATGGCAACAAGGTGGCAGAGGCACTGGTGGGCATGTGGGGGGGGGGGGGAACAACAGCTGATGCAGATGCTTACTTGAGTGTCTCTGCCAGGAAGAAGCTCTGCTGTACGTCATCGTGGTTTGGCCGGTTGCTGTAGACGTCACGCACGCCGCTGTATCCTCCCTCTACCTTGCAGTGCTGCTCCAGGGCCTGTGGGGGGGGGGGGGGTAGAAGAGAGAGAGTGAGTGGAGGACAGAGCAAGGGAATATCTACGGAACACAGCATCAGAAGACACTCCAGAAGCAACCCACTGACGTGACTTCATACTGCCAACTCCCCACTGGTAACCTCACCAGTTCTGACTTGCTAATACAGGTCAACCCCAGCTACCATCTATCTGATGACGACATTAAGACTGCTGGGAAATAAAGGGACCCACAGCGCCCCCCAGAGGTACCTGGCCGCTACTGCATCACTCACCTGTACAGCCTCCCAGCCCCACTCCCTGTACTTGGGGTCGTGGGTGAAGCGCCACATGTACATGTAGGTTTCGATCACCTCAGGCCGCAGGATGTAGTACTTCTCGTTCTGCCGTGTGGCGATGGCCTCCACTCCACCGTCGAAGCGGAACGCCTCAGGCCCCAGCTTCAGCCCTGGGGAGACAGACGTCGGCATTAAGCCTGCCTCACCCCCTTCGCCTCACAGGGGGACGGTGAATTAACATTCGGAGGAGGCGTCGGAGCTGAACAGCACCCCGCTAATGGGGGATTTAAGGCGCTGAGCTCCTATGTTTTATTTACGAACCCCCCCACCATGGATCCCAGGTGTTACTGCTCTTCTGGGGGGGGGTTAGGAATTGCAGTATTCACTGGTGTCCCTGGCCTGAACCTGCCAGACAGACCAGCGCCTCCTGGAGGGCGTCGAGGCTGGGGGAGGCCGCTTCCTCGCTGGCCCTACCCCCCTGCGCCCATCTGCATGTCCTGCCTGGCTCCACCTGCTATCCATCTTCCAGCAGGGGGGTGCCTTGGGCTCGGGGGGGGGGGGCTCACTAAAAGCACGCCTCATTTGCTGGCCTTCTTGGCCCAAGCCTCTTCATCCCCAAGGCTATTTGTCTTGGCCAAGTTCGGGGACTGTCATGTGAAATCCTGATCATGTTACTGCTAGTGCAGCTGCTTCAGCCACAAGCGGTAAAGAGCTAAAATGCTCCTGCTGGCATGATGGACGACAGAAGCGCCCGGTCCGAGGGGGACCCAGCGGGCAGACTTAATCCAGTACTTTCACATCTGTCAGATACCACGTCTTCTGATTCACTCCACTTAGTGTGTAGACTCCAATTTTTTTGCTGATTGGATCAGGTTGTACCAAGAGAGGCGGGACTTCCTGAGTCTTACAGGAAGTACTTATGCTGCTCTAAGCAGTTACGATGGGGTGTTTATCAGTACCTAGAATGCAAAGAACATTCTTGTGTTCCTGGCAAGACAGCTCTTGTTAACTTTCCTCCCAAGAATGAACTTGGGATGCCACGAATCTTGGGATTGTTCTTGTTGGCAAACATGCGTCCTTGATACTCGGGCCGAGAATGACATCTTGGGATTTATACCATCCTCTGCACTTTGGGAATGGAAGATGGCAGAAGATGCAAGAACAGTGAAGTATGCACAGTGATAAACACTCCAGGTCTAAGCATTTATGCAGGGGAGCCTAGGCACATAAAAAGTGCAGACCCATCAGGCAGCAGGTAGGGGGCAGCAGTGGTTCGCGACTGGACTCACCGGTGCGAGCGTATGACTCATGGCATGTGCGTGTGATCTCAGCTGCTAGCTCCATCTGGTGGCCGGTCTTGTCATTGGGGGCCCCGTCGGCCCCTAGGGCGAACATGCCCCCCGCAAAGCAGGTGAGGTGGCCCATCTTGTGCTCCAGCAGTCCCCCCTTCCACTCAGCGATGTAGGTGAGCCCCCCGCTCGACTTCCGGATCAGGTTCGTCTCGATGGCCTGGGTACGGCACGGAGAAGCCGACACTGCTTGTCAGAGGGATTTTACCCACAAGCCCGTGGGAGGACTGATGATTCATCGCCAGTGGCCTAGATTTTACCTCATCTATGAACAGCTCACAGCAATACGGTCACACAGGAAATGCGATATTCAAGAAAAAGCCATTATTCACGGCAGAGGGACAAAAAACTTCCTTTAAACACATAGAAAACACATTAAACACGGAGTGGTAATTACCAACGGCACATACTCTAACACCAGGTTAATTCTTCCTGCGTCAAACGCGGCAGCCTGTTTCCGTGTCAGCTCTGAAGAAGGGGCTGGAAACCATTTGCGATAAAGACAGGTTCTCAAGAGTCATTAACACGGTGCACATCCGGTCCGTTGTGGAGAAGGCAGGGTGCGGGGGCCAGTCCGCTCCACCCATCCTTCTCAGGGAGTCCGGAGATATTATTTGGCGGTTGCTGTTAATATGATTTCCTTAGTTTCCGTACTAAAACATCCAAGGCAGCAGCATCATGTGCTCGACTGTACTCTAACTCAGGAGAGGAAGAGACACAGGTTTACAAAAACCCTCAAATGGAAAAATCAATACTGTGCTCTATCCAGTGTTTTTCCTCTTTAAATTCCAGGGCAGGGTAATTTATTTTTGCTGAAACATACCAAATATGGGAACTTTGCAATCCAGCTTTGAAATGCAGAAATGATCTGTCTGTCACCTAAGCATTTATAAATGATGCAGGGGGGAATGGGCACAAGGCTGGGGGCACACAGTCATACACTGTGGGTGTTTCAGCGATTCTGTTTAGCCCGACAGCATGTCTTTAGACCCGAGGACCCCAGCACATCATCCACACAAACAAACACACATTAATGGATTAAATATTAACCACTATTGCAATATTACAATCAGACAGCCGGTGTTAATTTATGTAATTTGGATTATTACATAAACTATTAACATTTGCAGGACAGATTCAGAAGTTTTACAGATACTAGGGGTAAAAGAAGGCAGGGCTGCCTTTAAAATCAGGCCGTGATAAAAACTCATGGCAGGAAGTTACTTTGGCAGTGAAGCAGAATATGGAAGCTGCCATAGAAGCTGCTGGTGAGTATGGCGAGTATGGCGAGTATGGCGAGTAT